GAAAAGGACGATTTTAAGTATCTAATATACGGAAATATTTATAATATACTATAAAATCTTACCAAAAATAACATATATAATATACTGATTTAACGTATAAAATTTAATAAAAATTATATATAAATTATACTGATTAGACATATAAATTCAGTATTTTTTTGCATACGAAAAAAGACGATTTTAGTATCTAGTATACAGAAATATTTACAAATTTATTATACTGTTTTTCTACATTTATTATATGTTTTTTAAACATATTATTTCCGTATATTTTCCTTATACATATTATTTATAGGGTCATAATGATAAAGAATACTTTCTTTACTACTAGGATTTAATAAGCTATATTAAAAATATCTTAGTAATTACTAATATAATGAAAGATTTTGTGCTTTCTTATGAAAATTTTGAGGTAAAAAATTAATATTACACACAATTTAATTTTCTATATATTTATTTATTTCATAATGTCAAGAAGAATATATATATAAAGAACAAAATAATTGATTATAATAAAAATTACAGAAGCTTTCTTACCTTATAAAGCTAAATTATTATCAATTATTTTATGTTCAGATGCTACAATTACTGATACATTAGAAAAAAATCAGTTATATCCAATATATATATTAATTGGTAACATTCCAACATAGCATTATAATAAATCAGATATAAAGTAACTTTAGGATATTTACTAATATTAAAATCTTCTATTGGTAAAAATCTTGCTCGTGAAATCTTTCTCAAATCCTTAAAATACTTATTAAAATCTATTTATCTAATGAATAGTATAAAACTTGAGATAAATAATGAAACTATCTGGTTTTGCTCACATATTTTTAAGGTTGGTAAAAATCCTAATTAGTCCTAATTAGTCCTGATTAATATAAAAAAAATTATTAATTTTAAAGATTAAATTTTTTTAAATATTATCATTATATTCAACTTTTTAATTAAATTTACTTATTAAAATAAGTTTAAATTTTTTTTTAAAATTTAAAATATCTTTAAAATTTTAGATCTAGGACCTAAATCCTAGAACCAGATCCTAAATTAAGTATATTTATTATTTTTAAAGAATTTTTTATTTTAAATTAATAAAATAATTGATATATAATAATTATTAAAAAGATTAATTTATTATTAAAAATTTAATTAACAGTATATAAATTAAAATTATCTTTAAATTCTTTAAGACCAATTAGAACTTATTAGAACTTTTATCAACCCTAATAATTTCTCCAAAGATTTAGTTAATAATCAATTCTTCAATAATTTGAGGAGATCACTAAGTATTTGCATCAAATATTTCTATATAAGCAACTTTCATTAATAATAAGAACTAAGAAATTTTGGTTTATTAAAATTGCAGCTCTTTGGGTGATTAAGTATTTAGAATATTTTAATAAATTATTTGTATAAATTCGTAAAGTTTCTTTAAGCCAAGAAAATTTAGGTTTAATCATCCAAGGCAATTCAAGAAAATTCATTAAAATTTTATATAAATTTTGTAATTCATCAGAATTAAAAGATCTTCAATCTTTTTGTGATTTTCAGGATAAGCTTTATCAGTAAAAATTTCTGGAACTTTAAATCTTTTATCTATAGTTTTATAAAAACAACTATCAACATACCATATAGATTTGATAAGTCTGTAATAAATTTTTCTCCTATTACATTTGCATTATCAATTCACATAAATCAATGCACAATTGATCTAAAGAATTCCTTGGTAAATTAAAATCAGGTAGATAATTAAGTGTTGATGCAACTTTCATTAAATCAAATGCATTTGTAGTTCTTATTGTAGACTCATCTAAATGATTGTCACCTTTTAATTTAAAAGTGACATATTTCCGTATTGCATTGCAGTCTCCCATGTGTTACATTTTAATCCTTTTCACTCAGGTTTGTATGACCATAGAATGCGGTGATATTTTTATCCCAACTCTTTTTATTTCATGTATAACTACATTTTGATAAAATTCATCAACATTCATATCAGTCTCAACTGGAAGTCCTTCCCATCCAAAATTGATTTAGAATGATACTCCACATTTACAATAAAAAAAAGATTGCGTCGTTATGCATTTTGACGATCGGATTTATCACGATTATCATGGTATAATAGAACAATACATATATAAAAAATTTTACATATATAAAAAAAAGCCCCCCCATTTTTAAAATTTGATGTTACGAGAATCTAAAAATTCACTTTGCCCGGCCTTAATATTCATATATTAATTAATAATACCTTAAACTTCAGCTCTCATCTAAGTTTCGCTATGGCGGAGATCTCCCAGATCATTTTTTTTACCAAAATGTAAAGAAAGAACGAACGACATGTTAATGAAAAAAAAACTGCACATCGATAAATTAGTTTTTGAAAAAAATATCGCATCTTTTTTACATGATTTTATCACCTCGTGATATAACGAATGTCCATTATGCTTGCTGCGCCGTGGAATATATATAATATTACTTATGGCAATTCTTATTTTGTTACCACTCGGATTATTTATTTCATAACTTTTTTTTAATTAAAATATTAAAAAAAAATTTATCATCATTAATAAAGTAAAAGAATCAAATTCAAAATCAAATTCTTTTACATTTTTTCTAAATATTAATATTAATTAAATAATATAAATTTTAAAATTTTATAATAATAATAAAAAAAATTATTATTCAATTAATTTTTTTTTTAATTATATTTAAATTTTTAGTTTAATAATCAATTTTATAATAAATAATAATTCCAACAAATTATAGTTACATTACAAATATTGTAAAATTCTGTTATATTTATTATTTCACTTTTTATCATTGGATAAATTCTCGGAAGTAGGTAAAGGTGGCATAGGTACATCACTTAAATCATCTTGTTTTACAGCCATAATTGAATAAGAATCTTTTTGTTAATAATTAATTTGTTAAAGAAAGTAATCTTACTTTATATAAACCTTTTATCTAAAATAATCATAATAAAGGATACATACAGCACCACAAAATCCAAGTAAAACCATTCCAGTTATAGCATTTCTCACGACAAAAGGTTTTCTTGCCCTTTTCAGCGCCGGTGTAAACAATATTTTTTGAGTTTGATATTTTAATGGTTGATTCAACATCTTTATTAAAACAAAGAGATTTAAATAAATTTATTTCTTTGAATAAATTAATAAGTGAAAATCAAAAACCTTGTAAAGTCACAAAAAGCACGGAGAAAAAAAATTTTTTTTTAAGATTTTATCGATTATCTAAAGTTTTTTACATGACATCATATCTCGGACCTAGTACGATTTATAATCAAATTTCCCGAGCGAGCTAGAACTAAGTAGAATTAGGAATTCCAAAAATAGGATGATGGGTTTAGATTATGCAGTTGATCACCCGAAATCGTAAATTTTTTTTTATTCGAACAAAAGTTTAAAATGATCGGATATGTAAATTCACCTTAAATGGATAAAAAGTATTTAATTGAAACAATATAAAAGAGATCGAAATAACTTTTTCCAAACTTTCCATCTTGAATCATGTCTGAACCGGTAAAATTAACTGATGCATCAGCATATGAAAGTTTTCTTGATAAATATGATACATTTTTGATCGATTGTGATGGTAAATTTTTCGAAAATTTTTTTTCTGTGAAGAAATCATCAATCATATTGATATAGGTGATATTATTATTATAGGGGTAATATGGCACGGTAATAACGTACTCCCGAACCTTAGAGAAGCATTATCCGTACTGCGGAAGAAGGGTAAATTTTTACCGTAATTTTATTATAAATTATATTTTGTCATATAATGATTTCTTTTGTATTTATTAGGAAAAAAATTATTATTCGTTTCAAATAATAGTGCAACATCTCGAAAGGGATACTTGAAAAAATTTAAAAAATTAAATATAGAAATTCATGATGGAGAAGTTTTTGGCTCAGCTTACGCTTCAGCTTATTATATCAAAAATGTTTTAAAGTTTCCAAAAGAAAAAAAAGTTTATGTCGTAGGGGATGTTGGAATTATTGAAGAATTGGAATCTGAAGGAATTCGTTATGCTGGAGCTAACGTAAGTCATTATTAAAAGGGGGGAATCTTCGTTTACATCAAAATTCTTTATCTTTAGTTTGAATCTTTTTTTGCTTTTTAAAGGAAGATTCTAATTTTGATACTTCCAACTGGGATTACGCCAACATCAAACAAGATCCAGAAGTAGGCATTCATTCATTTTTTTCATTTTCATTTTCAATATACTTGTATTTACGTTCTTCTTTTGCTAGGTTGGAGCTGTCCTTTGTGGATTTGATATACATGTTAATTATTTAAAATATGCTAAAGCGTTCACTTATCTTAATTCAAATCCCGAATGTCTCTTCTTCTTAACTAATGATGATCCAACATTTCCAGCAAATGGAACCGTTTATCCAGGTGGAGGAGCTATTGCAGCACCTTTAATTACAGCGTTAGGTAGAAATCCTGATGGGATATTTGGTAAACCTAATAAACCCATGTTAGATTGTATTATACAACATTTAAATTTAAATCCTGAACGCACTTGCATGATCGGTGACCGTCTTGATACTGATATTTTATTTGGTACTAACGGTGGTCTTGGTACTCTATTCGTTTTAACTGGTAATTTATCCAACTCAATTTTATCATTTTTTTTTTAAAAAAAAAAATTCTTCAAGATTTTTATTTATAATTGAAATTTTTTTTTTTAGGAGTTAATAAAGAACAAGATATCCTCGCTAAGGATGCTCGTATAATTCCAGATTATTACATGGCAAGTCTCGGAGATTTTTCGATACTTTAATAAATAGATATCATATAGAATCTATACAAATATTCTTAAATTAGAATAATTTCCCCTTTATTTATTTTATTAAATATACGCTCTATAACTATTCCACCAAGTATTAATTCCATCGACAAAACTTAAATGACGTTGTTTCCAACCAAGTATTGTTTGAGCTTTCTTATTGGAAAAAATTCCTGTATGCGCCATGGCTATTTCGAAATCCGTTGTAGGAACTTTATATTTAACGTGTCCTAAAATAGAAGGGAGTTACATTATAAATGGAACTAGTAAGATAAATTCATTAATGTTCTATAAAGAATTTACCTATATGATCCGTTATTCTTGCAACAGCATCCAACATTTCACCCATGGATTCGGATTGATTATTCGTAATGATGAAGATCTGACCTTTAACTAATTCGGATCTTTCAACAGCTCTTACGTAAGCGTCAGCCAAATCATCAACATGTACCAAATTCCATCTAACGTCTTTTGTACCAATACCATATAATTCGCCTTTTATAGCGGATTCAAACCACTGTGCTGTTAAACTACCATTTTTACCATAAGCAGCTCCGGATCTAATTACTATACCATTAACGATCTGAGAGTTAATAATCATTTGTTCTATTGCTGGCCTCCATTGATCTAATTTTATGTTTGTTTTTAATGGAGTTGATTCATAATTCACATTATAAGAATATCCACCATATATCTATTTTAATTTAAATTTTTTAAAAAAATCATACATACATAAATATATATATAATTAAATTAATTGTATATTACCCATAATCCTGATGTATAAATAAAAGTTAATTTAGGTTCACAATTTTTTATTCTTTTCATGCTAATTTCTTCTAATGTATCTATTATATTTGTTACATGCTTTATTGGATCATTATATTCTGATGTCGCATCTATAATTATATCTACTTGTTCCGCTACAACTTTCCAAGTTGATACATCATTTGTATCTCCTGATACTGGAAAAACTATGCACATAAAAAAAATATATTTATAATTTCTAAATAAAAAAAAATTTCAATTGACAACCTTACTTTCGTTTTTGGCCAATTCCTTTTCCTTTTCACGTTTACGATACAATCCATATGTTTCATGTCCTGAATGAGCCAGTGCTTGAGCTACGGCAAAACCTATGAACCCCGTAGCTCCGAGTACCAAAACTTTAACCATTATAATTGCAAATTGAAAACAAATTTGATTCATATTTATAATTTTTTGATCATCTATTTTATCAGATTATCGATATCTTAATTCTATTAAATTTAATTTGGTTACTGTAATATATATATATATTTTTTCATTATTAGAAAAGTCACACTAATAACTTTCTTCATAGGTAAACCAGCATCTAGTTAATAAAATATCTCCCCGGGCGAAATCTTTTTTTAAAATGCAAAATAACTATCGACAAAATTATAAATAATAGGAAGAACCTAAAAATTTGAATTCTATGGCTTTGTGAGATCCGAGTTCTAGATAGCCGATTATTTATCTTCAATAATTGTTGAAAAGTAAGTTGGTTTGGTAAAAGGTTGCCTAAATTTATGAAATAAAAAAAAATTCATAGTGAATGCGACACGCGTTTATCCTAAATCACAAAAAAAAACTGCGGATGTTAGATAAATCAAACTGATCAATTATATATAAAGCCTTACAACACCGAAAGAATAAATTTTTTAATTTCGCAAAAAAATAGTTGAAACATTAAAAAAAAAATGACATTTGGGTTATCTCATTCAATATTTGGTAAACCAGTTCCATTACAAAATGTTGCAATCAAAGCTTATGGTATGTTATAGGGTAATTAAATGTTCTTGATTCCATTTTTTTTTAAAATGGATTTAATTATTTTTTTTTATTTTTTTAGTTGTTGATATGATAGCTGAAGGTAAGCGTTTTAATTCAATTTGATTGGATAATGCATTTATAACGCTAATACATAATTTTTTGGATTCATCCGCAGTAAAGATCGCTCAAACGTATAAAAATTCTGAAACCTGTAGCATAAATGCCATTTATAAATTTCCAATTAATGAAAGTGCGGCTGTTTGTGCTTTTGAAGCAGAAATTGAAGGCAAAAGAAAGGTTCATGGTATTGTTAAAGAAACGCAAGAGGCTACCACAGAATATAACAACGCAATTGAGGTAAAACAACTTTTTTTTAAATAAAAAATAATTTCTAAAAAATCTTACAAAATTTTAATCTCGTAGGAAGGTCATGGTGCTTTTTTATTGGAAGAACATCATGCTGATATATTCGAATGTTCCGTTGGGAATATTTTACCAAATCAAACAGTTGTAATAAGAATTACATATGTGACAGAACTTAAACATGATTCGGAAATTGAAAAAATTCGTTTCGTTTTACCTACAGTAATAGCACCAAAGTATGGTATCGAACGTAATATACCATATCAAGAAGTTTATTACGCTCCCGAATTTACAAAATATGAATTGTCATTATTAGTAGAATGTAAAATGACTTCAGTCATAACTAATATTGAATCACCTACACATCTTATTTCTTGTGAAGTTAATATTAATGATAATCCAAAAATTTCAAGGATTACATTAGGAGGACAAATAAGTTATTTGGATAAAGATTTCGTATTAATCATAAAAAGTTTAGGTCTTGATCAGCCAAGAGCTTTTATTGAATATGATGCAGATAAAGACACAAACTGTCTCATGTTAACTTTAGTTCCTAAATTCGCAATGAATCCAATATTATCAGAGTTGATTTTCATTATAGATAGGTAAGTCATGATATTATTAACTATCCCTTTTTTTTAATTTAAATAATAAAATTCGTTAATTTAATATATATATATATATATACATTAGATCAAGATCGATGAATGGATCGCCGATACAAAAAGCATCATCAGCGCTTGAATTATTTTTACGATCTCTTCCAGAAGATTGTTATTTCAATATCGTTTCATTTGGTGATCGGTTTGATCCTCTTTTTAAACAGAGTGAACCAAATTCTCCGGTTTCATTATCAACTGCACTTTTGTTTGCTCGAAATATGACAGCAAATTATGGTGGAACGGAAATTTATCAAGTATTAAAATGGATTTTTGATAATAAAAGAACAAATTTACCAACTGCAGTTTTTCTTATTACGGATGGAAATGTTTGGAACGTTGAAGAAATATCTGAATTGGTTAGGGACAATGTTAAAAAGTATGAGGATAACTTACGTATATTTGCTTTGGGAGTTGGTAGTAATGTCTCATCAAATTTGATAGAGTCTGTAGCTCGTAATGGTAAAGGTTATGCTCAATTTATTTCTGATACGGAAAGGATGGATAAAAAATTATTGGGAATGTTAAAAAATTGTATCAAATCTCCAATTAAAGATTATAAAATCACTTGGACTGATGATGATAATAAACTTATAGAAGATACTTTCAAAGATTCGGATCAACAAAATAAAGACAAACCAGTTATAAGTTTTTTCGGTGAAGAAGAAACATCTTCATCTAAACAAACTTCAAATAATGATTTCGTTGATAATCTTGCCATTCGTCAAGCTCCTTATGAAATCCCTCAAATTTATTCCGGAATTAGACTTGTTGTTTATTGTATGTTGGCCAAAGGTGTCACTGCTAGAAAGAGCATTATTTTATCTGCAATGTCACAAGATGGACCCATGAAACTTGAAATTCCTGTTGATCCAATTATATTAAAAGGATCAAAAGTTCATACTTTAGCGGCCCGGAAACTTATTCAAAATTTAGAAGATGGGACTTCTTACATACATCATCATCCAAAGTTTTGTGATAAACCGGTTCCTGCTTCTATTATAAGGAAAACAATCGTCACGTTAGGTAAAGCATTTGACCTTACTTCGAAATATACAAGGTTTGTATTTTTTAAACCTATGGAGTCTTTCTTCAACAGGAATTTCTTTTTTTACTAAGGAATTTCTTTATAAAGCTTCCTAGCAATTGATGAACGTGAAGAAATGGATGAAGCAAAAGCAAAGGAAAAGATAGATAAAATTATCTGGTTCAAAAGAAATCCTTTATGGGGATTTCCATTAAATAATCCTCCGGTTTTTGGTACAAACATTAATAATACATCGGTACAAACAACAATACAGCAACCATTGTTTGGTTTTGGAGCGGTTACACGGCCATCATTATTTGGAGCACCTTCACAAACGTCTGCATTCGGAAGGTTTGGATTGGCATCATCACAGCCATTGAGATTTGGTTTTGGATCTGTTACAACACAAGTATCTCCATTTGGTCATGCAATGTCACAACCTGGATTCTATGATGGATCTCAAACGCAACCAAGTTTTGGTTTTTCACAGACACAACCAACATTTGGTGGTCTTGGCTTTGCACAGACACAGGCGCAACCAGCTTCTGGTTTTGGTATTGCACAGACTCAACCAAATTACGGAGGATTTAATTTACCACAACCAACGTTTTGTGGATTTGGTTTTTCACAAACACAGGCAAAGACGCAGACACAACCAACGTTTGGTGGTTTTGGTTTCGCACAAACACAAGCACCGACGCAACCAGCATTTGGTGGTTTTTGTTTCGCACAAACACAAGCACCGACGCAACCAGCATTTGGTGGTTTTGGTTTCGCACAAACACAATCACCAGCGCAACCAGCATTTGGTGGTTTTGGTTTCGCACAAACACAAACAAATTATGGAGGATTTAATTCAGCACAAACACATCCAACATTCGGATCAGCACAAGCGCAGACGCATTTTAATTTTAGAGGATTAAGTTCAGCACAGACACAACCAACATTTGGATTTGCACAAGCACAGACGCAACCAAATTATGGATTAGCGCAGATAACAACGACGCAAGTACAAACACAACCAGCATTCGGTTTCGCACAGTTACAGCCAGCATTTGGTTCAACACGTGCACAACCGACATTTGATTTGGAACAAGCACAGGATAATTTTGGAAAACTTAGTTTAGTACAAACGCAAACAAACTATGGGTTTGGTTTTACACAACCTCAACCAAGATTCGGTACATTTAATTTACCTCAATCACAACCCACACTTGTTTCTCTTAATTTAACACAATCTCAACCAGTTTTGGGAAGTCTTGATGGAAGCTTAGAAAATTCACAAAGATCTACATATAAGTCAACTCAATCCATTTTACCCTTTGGTGGGTTTAATATACCATCTCCTGCATTATCATTATTTGACCTCAATACAACTTCTTCCGCTTCATCTTTATTTGCTTCTTTATCTACATCTCCTAATTTAAGAATTGATGATAAGAAATTTGATCCAAAAAATTCATCATTTGACATATTAATGACATTTTTAAAGTTTCAATCATTTGATGGAATATTTAAACCAACGTCTCAATTTTATTCATTTTTCGGTGACATTAATCCTGTGATAAATAAACCTTTAGAATATAATGATGAATCATGGTGTACAAGTATATCAATCGCTTATTTGGAAATTGTTATGTGGAAGAATCTTAAGGATGAATCCGAAATGTGTTACGAAAAAGCTAACAGAGCTTTGAAAAAGTTGATGGAAAATGATACTAAAGTAAATGCTATTCTAGAAAAAGCTAGAAATTGGATTAATGATTGGTTATCAGATCAGCATAAATAAAAGAAAAGGGTAAAAAAATAAATATAACTTTTGTTATTTAGTATTAAATAAATTAAATGGCTATTTTCTTTCCTAATTTGGAAGTGTTACAATCTCTTTTACAAATAATAACAATTTCTGATAGTGACAATAAAGGTAATAATAAACGCGCCAAAAAAAAATTTCCACCAAACAAAAAAAATAAGACGGTTAGATAATTTCAATTATTTCATAAATTCAACTTGTCATTATGGAAACATCCTCAATAGAAGAAATAGAAGGTATTTCCATGTATTATTAACACATTTAAATATGATAATAATTTTTTCGTTTATTATACTTGTCAAGTAACGAAGGTAAATACATAAATAATTAAACCACGAATAATTGCAGTGTAAACCAACCTTGAAGGATCTAATACTTTACAGTAATTCGTTAATGATATTTTTATCGTTATTTAATAAAAATTTGAAATATAGAATTGGTTTCGAGTGATGAAGGTAAATATAATCATAATAATCTATTAATTTTGCCCAATTTTTGTTCAAAATATTGAGCCAGTTTCGGACGCTCCTGATGCCCCAACATTAAAAGAATTACATGGTAATGACAATTTATCTATTTGTTAAATTACTTTTTTTTTAACAAAAAAATTAATTACTTAGATTGTAAGCCATTTAACTTTTATAAATCTTAAAATTTAATTCAACATATTAATTAACAATATATAATAATCAATAATACTATAGGGAGTAAGTAATTTTAATTTTATATAAGTAATATAAACATATGGGCTGTTTGCTATTAAAATTGAGGTACGAGACATAGTAAATCATATGAAATAATAATATTAATTGCTATTAATATTACAGAAGGTAATTATTTTAATTAATTAATTATACTTTTTACTGTATTTAAACAACTAAATTTTTATTTAAAAAAATAATTAATCTTTTAGATTGTTATCGAAACGTTCGCCAGAACGTTTTTACTAATTGATCATAGTAAAAAAAGTGATCGACAAGCTGCATATTTAATTAGTAATGGAAATGTTTATACTTATAACAGAACAACCTCACGTGATCACAATTAAACATAGTAGAAATGAGTTTTGTGTAATATAATTTTTTTTTATCTTTTACACATTCTGCCCTACATTTATTTTGTGCTGATAAATACAAGTCATATCTGCAATATCACTACAACCGAAAAACTGTTAACCGTTTCTTTAAGCCTCTTCGTGTTAGGTTAGGTAGGTTTATACCTTTTTTTTATTTCTTTTCCTTTACGACAGCTTTGTTTTGAACAAATGACGTGTCCGCGGTAGACTGTTTTGTTCTATCAGAAGCCAGTAAAGCTGGCAAGTCATTCCTTATTAGTATGTAATTGTCCAGGGTGGCTGGCTGATTTTGGGATACAAAGCTGTTGGGTGTCTGTTGGGTACGCAAAGCGTCTGCGGTAGACTGTCTTGTTCTATCGGAAGCCAGTAAAACTGGCAAGTCATTTTTTTGTAGGATGTAATTGTCCAGGGTGGCTGGCTGTTGCGTTAACAACAGAACACCACTACATTAATTGACTTTAGCCAAGCAAAATGTACTGATCTTTCTTTGCTAAAATTTCATGAATTTGTATTGAAATACGAGTATGATAACTTTTCGGGCAAAGAAAAAACGCTACATAGATTGGATGATTTCGTTTAATAATCCTACTCCTATAGAATACTTTCGCTTGATTTCACCATCGCAAAAATCCCGTACGCTTCTTAACTATAATGTGACTCTCGATCAGGCCATCAAATGTTGTGAAGATCCGGTTAAGCAGTTGCAACTAAAAAAAATAAAAGAAACAGTTGATGTACGTAATCAAATTTGCGACTCTTTGAGAAATTCAGTATTTCTAACATATATACTCTTTTTATTAAATAGTGCAACGCAGACTGGAATGTGTGGTTTTTGGAGAAAAAGGCGGTATGTTCAATCAAAAAACAAAGTATATGTTTCACTATTAATAGAATATATTTGATAGATTCGAATTCGTAATGAGGTTCATGAGACAAACACAGAAGTACACCGAGAAATAAACACGTTTGTTAGGAATTTGAGAGAGCAAAATGTACTATTATTAGTCTTCTGACTTTATGGGTTTATCAATTGTGAATGTATGTTTAAAATTTTAATTACTTTTCAACAGAATAATGAAAATGCCGATGAGGACAACAATAATGATAGCGCTGATAATGAGGAAGGTAATAACAGCATTAATGACAGTAATATAGACGAGGAAGAATGTGTAGATGAAAACAAGGTCTGTACCTTTTTTTTTGCAATGCACATGATAAAAATTTAATTCGTTGCCTTTTTATAGATAATCGTTCATGATATTCTTGATGGTGATATATCAGCAACTTAGGCGGAACAAGATATTCTAAAAATATATCGTTCAAAATTTAATAATTGTTCTGTCATAGACCTTCGCCTACATTCAGAACTATCCCTTTCTTTTAGTGTTCCGCAAAAAATCCGATTCGATCCGAATCCGATCCGGATCCGACGGATCGGATCGAATCGGATTTATCGG